TACAGTCCAACAAGGGCTGCACCCTAAAATCCTGGGCAGAAATGGAAATTGTTCACTTTCCAGACAACTAATAAAAGACACAGTTCATTTTGAGCTATGGTCCTTGCATTCCTATAGTATCTTCTACGTCTTTGAATGTCCAGGATTAGCCTTAGTCTCCCCAAAGGATTTTATGGCAGTACAGATACTCATCACAGTCACATTAAAAACAAATCCATCTTCCTTTTTTTAGGTTGATGCTTTTTATGGTCATCTCTTGTACAGATTATTTTTTAAAATTTGCCTACTTAAATGGCTTTTAATGTAACAATTGTCTGCTTAGTGCTTTGATTATTATTCCACCTGCAATTTAGAAGAAGAAAGTTCCTGTGAGGCCCCATCTAAGCTTTATGTCTAAGGTGGTCTCCCCTTTCTACTGATTTTAGAACATTCCCCACTATCTTATCTTCCCTAGATCCAATTCTCAAGTAGGAAAAGTATCCATACCCTAGATGTAAAAAAGATTCATAGATTTCATAGACATTAGGGCTGGAAGGGACCTCGGAAGATCATCGAGTCCAGCCCCCTGCCCAAAGGGCAGGAAGTCAGCTGGGGTCATAGGATCCCAGCAAGATGAGCATCCAGTTTCATCTTGACGGTGTTCAATGAAGGCGCTTGAACAACCTCCGGTGGCAGGCTGTTCCAGACCTTGGGGGCTCGGACAGTAAAGAATTTCTTCCTTATGTCCAGCCTGAAACGGTCTTGTAGTAGTTTGTGACCATTCAACCTCGTCATCCCTTGGGGCGCTCTGGTGAACAAACGTTCCCCCCAGATTCTCTGTTTTTCTCTGATACGTATTTGTATCCCCTGCAAATGGCAAAATCCACGAATAAGGCACTGCGTTCATGTCCCTAGCGACTGGGATTTGTGGCACAGCTCCGGCAGCAACAGCGGGAGCCCGGAGGTGGTGGAAGGATCCTGGTGGCAGCAAGCACGGAGCCCCTGAGGAGCTCTTGTAAGTGTATAAAGTGCATTTAAAATGTAGGTTCAGCATTCGCAAATATTTGAAACCACAAATGCTGAACCCGTAAATAACGAGGGTTTCCTGTATTTCCTGTATTCTTGATAGTATATTTTACTTTAAAAGCACTTTGTTTGTTTAGTTTAGTTTAGGACTTAGCTTATAGTGATTGCTAACTCATATTTTGCTTTCTTTGTTATGCTGCATTTCAGTGGAATTGGTAGTATTTGAAAAAATTACCCATCAATGTATTAATGAATTCTTGTAGCAGTTCAGAGTAGTAACAGGCTGATCGCTCTAAGAGTTAATTATGCACTCTTCTTGGGAAAAAAGTTGATAGTTCAGAGATCAAACAAAGAATCAGAACCTTGTAAGGTCTGCATGACACAGATAATGGGTCCTTTTCCTAGCTTGCAAGATTGTGATCCCAGAACTCCTTTTTCCTTTTCAATTCTGGTACACTGAGTTGAATTATGGAATTATTTTAAAGGAATGTATAGGAATGTAAAGAAAATTAGGGGGGGGGTTGCTTTTTTTTAAATACCTTAAGTAATTGAATCCACAGTGAAAGCTGTTAAGAAATCTGTGGTATTTCAAAATTGGAAATATGATTCTTCATGCCAAAATATACTTAGCTGTCTTAGGTTCTGATACTGTTCTAGAGATATCATCTTGAGGAACAAATTTGCCATTCAATACACTGTCTGTACCATTTGAATTGGAGGTAGCTTAAAATGGTATCAAGGAAAATCTATCTGAGTCTGATGTGAAGCCTACTGAAAATAATGATGGTCTGCCCATTGACATCAGTGTGTTTTGTTTTGTACCCTACCGTTGAATCAATAGTTTATCATTTTAAATCTTCTTTGCGTTGTTCTTTCAAGTGAATTCAGGCATTCATCTTGGAAAAACATATTAGAGAATCCTAATTGCAATTCTCTTGTAGTCAGTGAATCAAGTAACCACAGTATAGATAGTCTCTTAAATTAAATCTACACACTGTTTACTTGTTAATACTTTGTTTGTTACTGGAACAAGTAAATATTTGTTTTTAATTTCCCAAAACATGAAGGTTAATATCGGAAAATATGGTACTGCAGAGAAAGTTAAAATACACCTCATTAAGTACAAGCATGATGTGAATTTCAGTGTACTTACCACAGGTGGTTTGCATTAAAATATGTCTGTTTCATTCAGAACTATTTTAAGTAAGTTCACAGGGAAATACCTTTTTGAATGTTTGTACTGGAAGAGCTGTTATTGTATATTGTATTCTTTTTTACACTGTCTAAATACTTTATGTTCTGCTTTTCAAATTTAAAAGTATTTTTCATAGTACATCATCTTTGCAGTTTGGTAACAGATTTCAAGGTATAATTAGAGAAAGACTTTAATTAAAAACCTAGTAGGTGTATACTGTAGAATTATAGCCTTTAGAATAAGTTGTCAAAAAGGACTGCTCACTTGCTTAACATTAACCATGTTCTTTTTTGTTTGAGCTAAAGGCGTCATATTTTGTATGGTTTTATAATAATGTCACATGTATTTTTATTGATTTTTGCCTTTGATCTTAAGAAATGTTATGATACTGTATATACGATTTAAATTTACTATAGTCATATTTTAAACAGTATATGGTAAGGTTTACTGATTTGTTAGCTAGTTGTCTTGACAAATACACATGGTATCAATACTTTCCAATAATAATTTTTAGATTTGGATCACAGCTCAGTTTTTAAAAAACCCACATCTTTAAAATGCTTTCCTTGGTTTCTTGAAAAACATAGATAAAAGGATTATAATTAGAAACAGTGATGACAGATTATATAACCAGACATAGAGTACTCGGTCACTTACTCTCAGTGTTCACTGTCTCCTTGAAAAATGTTTTAAATTACAAGAACATGGGAAGAAAGCAGCAATTTTTACTCTCATATTCTGACCTTTGAACTTTATGGTGTTGGAATTGATTGTAGATGGAGTGTTTACAGTTGCCCTCTCCTTCATGATATATTCAAATGAAAGCTTCTACGAGAATACTTTAAATGTCAAAGGCATTAGAATAAGTATAAGTAACATTTTCATGGCTATGTTCATAGCTTTTATAAAAATTATTATGTCTGCCATATAACCACACTGAATAGTATTTTTACCCCTCTTTGTTGTATACATACAATTAAGAAATAATAGAAAATATTAATTAATTATATTAATATCTCAGGTCACCTATAATGCCCTTTATTCTTGTTATTACTAAGAAAACAATTTATATATGCTTTGTTTAACCCAGGGGTGGGCAATAATTTTGGCTTTTGGGAGGGCCACTTAATGAGTTCTGATGAGCTGATGAGGGCTGCAAGGGTAGCCCCGCCCCTTGGTAGGTGCCCCATCCGCTGATCTTGGGACCAGAAGTCCCACCCCTGCCCCTGGAAGTACTCCTTTTGGGAGGGGGGGTTGCCATCTGAACCAGAAAAAAACCCAAATCATATACTAAAAGTTGAACACCTACTATAACATATTTTAATTTTATTACAAAAAATATTTTTTTCATGATGTTTTCTGTAGTGTATACAGAGATAATTGCATAATAGGTCAAAAATAAAGTCTTACTCTTGTACAGTGTGTGTGTGTGTGTGTGTGTGTGTGTGTGTGTGTGTGTGTATGGTAGGGTGTGGGGGGGATTTGTGACATGGTATGGCTGTGTGTGGGGGGTGTTGTGGGGGCAGGGTGTGGGTGTGTAGGGTTTGTGGGCTCTGATGGAGGATGGGGGGCTATGGGCCCGTACCACACACCCCCCTGCTCTTGGTGCACAGCTCTTGCTGTTGGCTGCAGCAGCAGCAGCAGGCATGGGCCCTCAGGGCACTCATTGCCTGCGCAGTCACTGCCACCCAGCAGCACACGGCTCCAGCCAGAGCTGCACATGGTGGCAAGGAGTGCAGTCACACTGGCCTACCTCTATCATGTGGGGTTCACTGTGACACACATGTAAGTGCCACCAGGACAAGCCCTACATGATAGAAACGGCTGCCTTCCACACACCCTGCCACCATGGTAGCAGCAGCGGGCCTCTCTGCCACTTCTGGCAGAGTCCCAGCAGCTTCACATGATGGGGAAGGCAGCTAGCTCCATTGTACAGGTATTCCCCCAGTGACATGCAAGTGCCAGAAGCTGCATGTGTGCTGCAGGGAGCCCTGCATGATAGAGGTACACCACCAAGTGCAGTGCTGGCTGGAGCCATGTGCCAATGGGCAGCAGCACCTGCACAGGTCAGAAGTGCCCCGAGCACCCACCCGCATGTGCAGAAGGGCCCGGCCCAGCTAGGACACAGCTTCCAGGTGGGGCTGCTGCTGCCACTGCTGCAGCTTCCAGGGAACCTGCGAGCACCCACCTCCTAGTGCTGCAGCTGCCAGCAAGAGCTATGCACCACTGGGGCGGGGCGTGGAGGGAGTCTCCACAGCTGCCACCCTCCCTCACACCCACATGCTATCCACCCCAGCTCCACATTTCCACCACCCTGCTGGGCATAGTTTTCGCGCTCCTGCCAGCCTCAGCCCCATGCTCCATGCCCCTGCCCAGCTGCACTTCCCCTGTATCCCCACTGCAGCTCCCTCTGCCCTAAGTGAGTGCAGCAGCAGGGAAACAAGGAGGAGCTGCTGGATGTTGGGAAAGCTGAGCAGGTCCCCCAGTGGCTGCAGTAGTGGCAGCAGCAGCCTCACCTGGAAGCTGCATGCTGGCTGGGCCGGGTCCTTCCGTGCACAAGTGTGGGAGTAAGTTGTGTTGGCTGGGTGGGGTACAACTAGTTGGTGGGTGTCTGTGGGATGGATGAAATTGCCTGGTGGGCTAGATCTGGTCCATGGGCCGTATTTTACCTGCCCTTGGATTAACCAACCCTAGATTGTGACTAGTAGAAGTAAAATAATCCATTTAATGCCCTCACTAGCTGGTCATGTTTGTGTTTCTACTATAGTTTATTAATATATTATGATTATTTTTCTTAAAGCACCAGAGACTCCTTGGAATGCTGGAAATAGAGAAAGAAATGTTAGCTGAAAGGGTAGAAGAAGCTTTGATGCAAGAATCACAAAAACATAAGGTAATATTTATATACTTGGTTCTTCACCATTGAAGTCAATAACAGTTTTGCCCTTTTTTAGCATTTGAAACAATTTTTCCCACTGCTCAAATGTGTTGCAATTTAACTTTTCATGTCATTTGCAGGAAGTACTGGAAAAATGTTTGGATGAAGAAAGGAAAAGAAGTAAAGAGGCTCTGGCAGCTGCTGCAAAGGTATCACCATTTAAATAGTAGATATGCAATATAAATACCATGTGTGTCATTAGGAGAGCCAGGTTAAGTAACTGACTTGTATTTCATAATCAAATCCATTTAAGTCCAGATCCATTAAAAATTATGTTTGTAAGTATGTTTAGAGAGGAATATTGTTATAGAAGTCATGAAGACATCTAAAGCAGTCAGAGATCTCTGGTGATAGAAAATGTAATGTCCTATTTTCTTTTAATTAAAATAGCACATATCTTAGCTTTTTAATTATACTGGATGCATCCACACGAGATGCTAGCTGTGCAGTAGCCTAATGATACTGCACAGCAGTGCATCACAGCCAAAACAATGCTAATACACTACTGCATAGTATTATTAGGCATCACTAAAAGGGCGTGCGCCGGCACCACTGTGCTGTAACACTGGTCATTGCACAGTGATTTAGTACTTGATTATACAAGTACTAACCTTAATGCACAGTAACTACGGCACATTAGTGAATGTGTAGAGGCTCCCACTGAGAAGTTAATGTATTATTATATGTGTTATCTAAGCAAAAGTTAGTTTTTATACTGTATATCCAACAGCCATATTATCATTTGGATTTCAAGAGCCAGATATTGGGGTCTTCATCCATGTGTGAAATCATGTAGCTGAATGATTTTTTTTTTTTTTTATATAAAGAAGTCATTTTTTAAGGAAAAGCCTAAGCCGTCTGACTTAAATTAAGTGAAGTTTGTCAAACGTCTTTAGTCAAAAACTAATTTCATTGCCAAAAAATTTTGGTTATTTGATTTCAGTTTCCTTGTGAGATTCAGTGTGTTTTTAAACAAGTAAATCGTTTGTCTTTTTATATGATTTGTTTAATGCTGCTCAATAATAAATGCACTGAACACAGGAACATTAATATTATGAAATCAGGTGATAATTTTTGAGTGACATTGGAATGTCATGTTTTGTGGCATAATCCAACCCAAATGGGATTCAATTATATGAACAAAATTACTGTGTTTCTTTCCAGGCATTGAAAGAATCTTTAGTAATGTCTCACCGCATGCAATTGATTCACCTATGTTACTCTGTTCTTTATAGCTTCTTATATTGTGTTTATAACGATACTAGCCAATTGCCCATCAAGAATAACAGGCAGGGGGAGGGATGGCTGGGGACAGAGGCCTGCATCCAGGCCCACCTCTCCACCTTCGGGCCAGGCCCACTCCCCCTCCCACCCCTCTGCTTCAGGGCTGGGCTGGGCTGCCCCCTCTACGTCCCCTGGCCCC